GCTGTCCAGCTCCAGGACCTCCAGCACGGTCACCCATAGCTCCACCGCCACTAGGACTCGCAGGACCCCCAGAGTCAGCACCCCCAGTCACAGCACCCCAAGAACCAGCACCCCCTGAACTAGCAACCCGAGTCGCAGCACCCCCAGTTGCAGCACCCCCAAAACCCTCACCCTCTGTCTCAGCACCCCCTAGGCTTAGCACCAGCAGTCTCAGCTCCAGAATCCACAGCAGCAGGCTGCGGAGGCGGCGAAGACGGCCGAGGCGGAAAACCAGGGGGGGTCTCCAAGCGTGGAGAGTGGCGAGTGGCCGCCGTGTCGTCAGCGGCGGGGTCACCCCCCTCAGCTGGGCCATAGGAGTCAGAAGAGACCTCCAAAGGCTCAACCAAGGGGGGTGGGTCTACCTGAGACACACCTGAGAGAGTAGGACCCTGTGGGGGGAGGGGGTCTACCGGGGGGGGGACTGGTACCAAGAAAAGAGGCGCTAGGGGGACCGGGTGGGACGCGTGCGGGTGTAGCCTGTAGTAACAGAGAGACTTGTCAAAGGTGACGTCCTGGGAGGAGAAGACTCGACGTGAGCACAGGTGGTAAAACTGCCACGGCAGGGCGTCGGTGGGGAAGCGAAGGAAGACGCAGCGGAGAGTGCGAGAGAGCTTGTTCGCTTTGTGAAAAAGGGAAAGCACGCCCCAGACCCGAAACACCAACGCATCGCCAACCTTCCCCATCCACCGGAGTGTGGGCGAGGTCTCTGGCTCAGAGACACAGGGCCAGAGGTTGAGCTGATGCGCAGCGTATCGGACCGCAAACGGCCACAGAAAATGGGGAGCAGCCGCATGAACCATGGAGGTACGAGCAACCTGCATGATCAAGCCAATGTGACGCTCAGCAATCCCATTTTTCAGAGGAGAAGCCGGAAGCGTGAACGACTGGACGATGCCCTCGTCTCGACAAAACTCCGCAAGGAGGTCAGAGGAGAACTCACTGCCCCTGTCAGAGTGCAGACGCAAAACTGGGAAGTCCCGGCTGAACCGCTTGCGCAGCTGGCAACGAGTAGCACGGATCCAGGGGATCAAAACACTGCTGACGTCCGCCTTGCACCGCAAGGGGAAGACAGTGGTGTAAAGTGTGTAGTCATCAACAACCAGCAGGAAGTAGCGCTCCTGGTCCATTCCACCGACGGGGCTGGGCCCCAAACGTCCATGAGGAGAGTCTGCAGAGGAGCAGTGGTTGAAGGAAACTCGGAGGAGTGAGCAGCGGCGCGCTGCCGCCCCTCGATGCAGGGAAGGCACGGTAGGGCAGGTGAGCGCGGGACGGAGGGCAGGGACTTGGGAAGGCCAGAGACAAGGAGACGCGGTAGGGAGGGGTGACCAAGGTGGTGGTGCCAGAGGAGAGTCTGGTGGGAGAGTGCCCGATACGAGCAAGACGCTGCAAGCTGACCAGACGCAGACACCTGACTCGACGCAGCCACCTGACCTACCTCAGCCGCCTGTGCAGACGCAGTGGTCAGTGTACAGACTAGACCCAGGAGGACAGTGGAGGCTCGTGCGACTACTCGGCCCCCAGTTGGGACAGCCAGTGAGACCAGTACCGGTGCAGCAAGTGGTGTGAGTGTGGTGCAATCACGAAAGAAGCAACGTGACGCGCCTGAGTCAAGTGTGAAAGTGTGCAAGGCCTCAACTAAGGAAGGACCTGTGGCGGGAGACGCACTAGCACCTAAAGCTGCAGCAGACTCACTAGCACCTAGTGCTGCAGCAGACTCACTAGCACCTAGTGCGGCAGCAGATTCACTAGCACCTAGTGCAGCAGCCTCGACAGAACCAGTGACACATCGTTGAGGAAACAGCTCACTAAGCACCTGAGGGGAGAAGGTCTCCTGCTGACTCTGTTGCCGCCTATGTGCAGTACGTAGAAACCCAAAGCCTCCACCACCTGGACGGGCTCGCTGAAGAACCCACTCGCGAAGCTGCTGAGGGGTGGGGTCGTGCGGGAGAGGCAGTGACCGCAGCTATCCACCCCTAGCCGCTGCAACTGCCGTGATAGTGGCCATGACAGGCAGTGACGGTCAGTAGTAGGTCCAGCATCTCCGGCACCAGCAGCACCTCCAGCACTCCCAGTCGCACCTCCAGCACCCCCAGCAGCAGCAGCACTCCCAGCAGCACCTCCACCAGCAGCAGCAGTAGCACGAGCAGCAGCAGCAGCAGCAGTGGTGGCAGCAGGGCGGCTCGGTGGGGCTGGTGATCAAGGTAGGGCCGCGCGGCTCGGGTTGGGCAGGACGGCTTGGGCTGGGCGGCGTGGCTCGGCCAGGCAAGGCGCGCCGCGGGCTGCAGGACAGGGCACGTGGTGGACAGGGCACGTGGTGGACAGGGCAGTAGGGCACACGCTGTGCAGGGCAGCAGGGCACGACGTGTGGAGCAGCAGAGCGCGACGCGCTGGCTACAGTAGGGCGTGACGCGCTGGCTGCAGTAGGGAGCAATGCGTTGGCTGCAGCAGGGCGCTACGCGCAGGGCAGCAGGGCGCGACGCGCTGGCTGCAGTAGGGCACGACGCGCTGGCTGCAGCAGGGTGCGACACGCAGGGCAGCAAAGCGCGACGCGCTGGCTGCAGTAGGGCGCAACGCGCTGGCTGCAGCAAGCCGCGATGCGCAGGGCAGCAGGGCGCGACGTGCAGGCTGCAGCAGGGCGTGAGGCGTGGAGCAGCTGAGCGCGACGCGCGGGCTGCAGCAGGGCGCGACGTGCGGGGGGGGCAGGCAGTGCAAGTATCTGCAGGGCAGCGCGACACTGTGCAAGCAGGGCCAAACAACGCAAGGGCGCTTCGGGCCGGAACGAGCGAAACTATCGGTGGGCCCTAAATACTTAACAGGTTTCATGCTTAGAATACCATGTCAGAATAGCTGTGCAGGAATGAATGAACTATGAATGAGTTGGGTACAAGTACTAACCCTAAAGTGTTGTACCCCTTGTAGGCTAACCCGCTATAGCCTAGAGAGAACACAAACATACAGTTTGACAATATGGGCAACGCACGACGTGCTCTTAAAGATTATCTTGTCAAGCAGTGTGTTTCTCAAGCCACCCAGATTTGAGGGGGGGACGTGTGAGAGTTCAGCGACCGTGCTTACCCAGTCTTGCTTATTTATATGTTATATTATCGTTTTGTGCTAGTTTTCCTAGATTTGTTGCTTTACTGTAGTTCTAATGTTATAGCACCGAGTATGTTGTGTTCACCGAATTTTGTTTCATTTCGGTTTCTTCCACTGGACTTTGCATACGCGTGATTCTGCCAATTTGATTTTTATCGAATTCAGGAAGGCCCTGTTATCAATGCTTCGTTAACCTAGGAACCTTCTCGTAACACCTGGTTACCTTTCCCTGTTTCGTGCCTATATATAGCCTCGTGTTGGACCCAGGTGATCGTAATATATTTTCTGAACTCTATCATCGATCATCACACGGTACGTGGGAGTGTGCCCCCTATGTCGACACCTTCACCACCTCCCCACCGCTCCCCGCCCCCGCCGCAGCCATTGTCATAGTTTGTACCGTCACCAGCGTAGTCCTCGAAGTAGCCACAACAACATGTGTCGCCGCTGTAGCCTTCCTCGCCGCAGCAGCCTTCGTTGCTGCCACAGCAGTCGTCACTGCCGCGGCTGATCTCCGAGGACCCTGCAGGTGTTGCTGCTGGACGTGCAGGTTCTGGGGGTGCTGCCAATATGGGTGCCGGCTCTTGAGATGCTGATTTTTGGGGTGTAGACGCTGGGAGTCCTCACCATCTCTTCCATCATTCGGTCCCACGTTTCCTCCCTTGGTCTCGTCTCCGGCTCGCCTCTCTCCTCGTTCACATCTGTCTCCTCCTCTGTTTCATGAATTGTCTCGTGCCTCCCACTACTGGGGTCAGCGTCCCTCTCGTGCTCGCCCAGTGTCCCCCCTTCCTAGTATCCAGTCCATGCTCCTCTGTTCGCGCCCCCCTCATGTTCCACCACCCGCTGTTCTCCCGTCGCCTCCTCCGTCGCCCCTATTGTCTCTCTCTCTCTCTCTCTCTCTCTCTCTCTCTCTCTCTCTCTCTCTCTCTCTCTCTCTCTCTCTCTCTCTCTCTCTCTCTCTTTCTCTCTCTCTCTCTCTCTCTCTCTCTCTCTCTCTCTCTCTCTCTCTCTCTCTCTCTCTCTCTCCTCCTTATACTCAGTAATTCTCACTCAATTTCGAATTTTAATTTTCTCTTTTCTCTTCCCACTTCTCTTCATCTCCCCCATTTCTCCTCCTTAGATAGGAGCAATATAGTAGATACATTAAACGTATTGTAGTTATCGATGAACTTAAAGATAATGCGAGATTTGCGTGACGCTTTAGCGGGATTTCGAGTCAGGTTCGGAAGCTCGTGACTTGTCGCTGAACTACGCACCCGCGACACCGATCGCCGAGCCTACCTCCACCGTTTTGGGCGAGCCTATCTGACATAGCCTGTTTTGGAGGTGCCAGATATTTTTCTGTCGGTCCGGTACGGTTCAGAGGTGCTCTGATTGGATTAGGTGAGTCTTTTGGTACTGTTAGACAGGAGATGATGCTTCCCCACTATTACTAGTGCCCACTAGTACTAGAGCAAGGTAGTTCACAAATTGTGGCTTTAAATCGAGGTTTTAGTGCTGTGAAACACGAGCGAGAAGGCAGTAGCACGGGGCTTGCGTGGTTGCAGCAAAGGAAACGTGTTTCGCGCTCGCAATGCGTGTGCCGCGGCGATCAGCGTGCGCGTCACGACACCGATGACCGTACACTGGTCGTGCAGCAACGGATGCTCTTTCCACTTGCGAACCAATGAATTCCGCAGCTCGCGCGTAGCGCGCCATCTCTTTCGTCGCCCCAAACGCGATTGGAGACTCACCGGGTCGAGCAGATTCGCAAAAGAACCCTCCTCTCCGCGGCATCCACGTCAGCATCTAGGGTTGCTGTCCGTTCGCGACCCGCATGAGCCAATGGGCTCTCCTGCCCCTCCTCGCATTCCTAGACGCGTTAGATGATCCTTGAGCCGATCCGAACCCATTTCCACCGCCTGCCAACCCCCCCCCACCCATTTCCTAATCATCCCTACCCGGATTCCCCGCTCCCCTGGCCATCGTCCATCCCGCCATGCCGAGCCAGTCCCGGGGTTCGGCACGTCACTTCGTCGTCCGCCGCCCCCTCGCGCGCGGGCGGGCGCGTGGACGCGCAGTGGGACGCGCACTGGGATCCGCCGGCGTTCCGCCGCTGGCTGCTGGGCTTCGCGGCGGTGCGCTTCGACCTCGAGCAGGGCCAGCTGGTCGAGGCGCTCTTCCCCGCGGGCGCGCTCAGCGCGGAGGAGGAGACAGACGTGGCGTTCTCGTCGTTCCCCGACTCCGTGTCCGCCGTGCACTCGCGCGCCTCGCTCTACGACTGCCTCTTCTTCTTCCGCATCCGCCGCCGCGGCGTTCCGCCTGCCCTCGCCGTCACGAGCGGCGGAGGTGCTGGCGGGGTTGATGGCGGGGCGGGCAGCGGCGGCGACGGCACAGCGGAGGGGGCTGGGCGGAGTGCGCTCGCCGCGCAATCTCCGCTGCTGCAGCAGCAGCACGCGCACGCTAGTGTCGTTCGGGGGGCAGCAGGGGGGCCAGCCGCGCGGGCGACCAGTCGGGCGGAGCGGTCCGCCGCGTCCGCGCGGAGGCAGTCCGCCAGCCCACCGCGGTGGGACCCGGGAACCAATCGTGCGACGACACCTGGCACGACGCCGCGGCGAGGCATCAGCGTGGGGTACGGCGGGGGGCCGGCGGGGGCGATGGCGGAGAGCATCAGCGCGCCCGCGTCGTCGCTCACCAGCCCCACGGGGCTCGTCGCCGCCTCCGCCTCGCCCTTCGCGCGGCTCGACAGATGCGCCACGGAGCCGCTCGCGGGCGGCGAGGGGGGGGACGAGGCGGAGGTGCAGTGGCGCGCGCAGGCGGAGGCCGGCGCGCTGAGGCACTCCGCCAGCGCGCGGGTGAGCGCGGGGCAGCGGGAGGAGGAAGCGGCGGTGGGCAGATCCGCGTCCATGGGGGCGGGGAGACGCGCGATGCCCGCGCACAGCCAAGACGAGGACGACAGAGGGGGGCACGGGGGTTCTGGGGGCGGAGCAGCAGCAGCAGGGGGGGCGGGGAGGGGCGGGGCGCGGTACGTGTACGGGTTTGTGTTCAACCGGCAGCGGCACGACTCACGGCTGCCACGAGGCGGCGAGCAGAAGTCGGTGGTGGTGCTCTCAGAGCGCCCCTTCTCCGCCGCCTCGCCCAGGTCGTCGGCCCGCTCTACTTCGACCGCGGACCAATCGCCTTCGTCCAGGTGGCGGCGTGGGTGTCGCTGTGGCCCGCGCCGTACCAGCCGTACCAGCCGAGCGTGGCGGGCGGCGGGGGCGTGGGCGGGGCGGCGGGGGCGGGCGGCGTGATGGAGCTGCCGGTGGGGCCGCGCACGTCCCTGCGCGTGCAGCTGCCGCCCGCCCACACTGCCGCCCGCATCGCACTCGGCTCTGGACGACTTCACGGCCGCCATGGCGCCCGCCCCCCTCTCCACCTCCGCTCCCCAGGTCAGTCTCCCGCCCAGCTGAGCCGCCCAGGTTAAGTCATGCCAGACAGGCGCACAGCATGTAGCGCACAAACATACCGCACTTCTCCTCCAGCTGCTGCTGAGACCACACCCACGCCACTATCACCTCCCATTGTCCCTCCATTCACCCCCTGGTCATGCTAGCCAGGCAGCACCAGGGGCACACCCAGTGGCACCTCCACTTATTCCTCACTCTCACCCTCTCATTCACCCTCCTCATGCTGCCACCCCCCAACCCCCGACCGACGCGGACGTGTTTGGCATCCTGAGGGGCGTGGCGGCGCAGCTGAGCCAACACCCTTCCCTCACCCCCTCTGCCCCCCCTCCATCTGCACAGGGCATATTCCACAATGCGGACGTGTTTGGCATCCTGCGCGGGGTGGCAGCGCAGCTGTGGGTGCTGTGGGAGCTGCTGCTGCTGGGCGAGCCGCTGCTGGTCATCGCCCCCACGCCCGCGCAGTGCTCCGAGGCCGTGGCCGCCCTCGTGGGGCTGATAGCGCCGCTGCCGTGCTCGCAGGACTTCCGCCCCTACTTCACCATCCACGACCCCGACTTCCCCGCCCTCAACGCGCTCAGAGATGGAGACGCGCTGCCCGCCGTGGTGCTGGGGGTGACGAATCTCTTCTTCCTCAAGACGCTCAAGCACCTGCCGCATGTGCTCTCCGTGGGGCGCCCGCCGCATGGGGGGCAGGGCGTGGCAGGGGCGGCGCGGTATGGGGCGGGGGCGGGCGGCAGCTTGCAGCCGAACGGGCAGGTGGCGGTGAGGGAGAGCGCGGGGCGGCTGCCACATCAGCAGCAGTCGCCACTGCGACGCCTGGCCACTGGCGGGCTGCTCAGGTGAGGGGTGGTGCAGAGGGTGGCAAGAAGAAGTGGTGCGTGTAGGGCGGCTGTGGGTGAGAGGCAAGCAGGGGTGCTTGAGTGGTGGGGCAGCAGCAGCCCCTGCTGCTGTGGCTAGCAGCCTCGTTTTTCCTGTGGGGGCCTTTGCTAAAAGCATGGTTGAGTCCCGTAAATGTTGTCTTACCACCACTCCTTTCCCCTCCTCTCTGTTCACCCGTCCCCATCCACACCCCACCGCTGCCTGTGCCGTGGCAGCATGCTGGCGGCGGGCAGCAAGGGGTTGGCGCGCATGAGGGGGGAGGGGCCGCTGTCGCTCATGGGGGAGCACCGCGAGGCGCTGTGGACCAATCACGTGCCGGCTGTCAAGCCCGACACCGCCGTGCTCAACCGCCTTCTAGACGCCTCCACCGCTCTGCACCCCTCCGCCTCCCACCGCACCCACCGGACCGGCTCCTCTACCACCAACACTGCTGCTGCTGCTTCTGGCCCTGGTGACGCCAATTCCCTCGCCTCTGCTGCTGCTGCCGCTGCTGCCGGGGTGGCAGCAGGAGGGGGAGCGGGCGGGCGCCCTGCATCGGCGTCTGCCCCCCCTTCCGCCGCGGCATCTCTCTTCAGCCTGCCGGGCGCCGTGGCGGGGTCACTGCTGGCGGGCGTCACAGGCGTGGCCGGGCTGGACGATGCAGCAGAGGGCAGCACAGGGGGAGCAGCAGGGGGAGTGGGGGCGCGGGGCGCGGGGGGCGGCAGTGAGCGGGGAGACAGTGGCGATGGTGAACAACGAGGTGCTGCGGCGCCACTTCATCGAGCTCACCACCAACTTCCTCGCCCCCTTCGGCCCTTTCCTCCGCGCCGCCGCCCCGCCGCCCGACGCCTCGCCCTACTGCGACCCGCCGCCCTTGCCGCCCTTCGACGCCGCGGAGTTTCTCGGGCAGCTTGCCGCCCGGGGGCCGGGGAAGTTTCTCGCGAAGAGGCTGCAGGCGGGCAGGTGGCTGGAGGTGTACAGAAGGTTCCTGGAAGGTCCGAACTTCATGCCGTGGTTTCAGCGGCGGCGCGCGGTGGCGGAGGCGGAGCAGCACCGGCTGTGGCGGGCGGCACGGCTGCGGGCGGACGTGAGGAAGGCGGTGGGCGGCATGGGCGAGGCAGACCTCGTGGAGGCGTTTCTGTGCGTGGAGAGACACATGGTGGTGGAGAGCGAGGTGAGGCAGTGGGGTGGTGTGGTGTGCGTGCCTTCCATCCCCGCTCTTGCAACCATGCCCCTGATGACTTGGTGACTTGATGAGTGAGGGCGACCTCGTGGAGGAGTTTCTGTGCGTTGAGAGACACATGGCCGTAGAGAGCAATATGAGGCATTTGAATGGGTGGTGTGCGTGTGCAGTGGGGTGGTGTGGTGAGTGTGTGTGTATGTGCACATCTCAGCATATTCACCCATGCTTTTTTCAAACCCAGCCTCACCACTGTGTGACATCCTCTCTCCCCCCTGCCTTGCACCCCCCGGGCACGGTGTGTGTGTGAGTGCATGAGCAGGCGTGGCGGAGGGCAGGCGAGTCCCCAGCAGTCAGCAAGCTGAGGGGCGACCTGCGGGTGCTCTGGGTGCACATGCCGCCCGCCACGCAGCGCCTCCTGCTCCTCTCACCTGCCCACACCGCCTCCCTCCAGCTGCCACCCTCCGCCGCTCCTGACGTTGCCGGGCGGGGCTCGTCAGCTTCTTCTGGGAGTGGTGAGTCAGGAGGCGCTCGGTGGGGGCAGCGGGCGAGTGAGGGCGCGGGCAGTGGCAGAGAAGGGGGGAGTGGAGCAGGGGCGGCACAAGGAGCAGCAGCAGCGGCAGGGGGGGGGGGAGGAGGCTGGGCTGGTTGGTTGTTTGGAAGGAGGAACGTGGAGAGTGCGGGGAGTGGGAAGGGTGCGGGGGAGAGGCGGGTGACAGCAGGCAGTGATGGGGGGAGGGGTGAGGGGGCAGCAGAGGCAGGGCGGAGAGGACCAGCCGAGACACCTGGGGCTGCTGCAGCAGCCGGTGCGCCTGCTTCTGCGTCTGCTGGGATGGACCAGAGCGCTGGCTCAGGTGATCCGTCAGGTGATTCTTCAGGTGGTGTGGGCGGCAATGGGGGACAGAGTGGGACGGTGGAGATGGTGGAGGCAGCGCAGCACCTCTCAGCGCTCGTGGCCAATCTCAGCCTGCCACCTGTCATCGCCCTCAACGGCGAATCACACCCCTCATCCAACCCTGGCAAGGCCTGGTCTGAAGCTTCCAGCCCTCCCCGAGGCTCCTCTGCAGGCTTGGGCCGAACGTCAAGCGGCGCTTCTCCACGAACAGCCGGGATAGGGTGGGGAACAGACATGTGGGACGGCAGCAGCAGCGGCTTCACGAGCAGCAGCGGCGCCCGGAGCAGCATCCCTGCCAACCCTGCCACCACCACCCCCAGCAGCAGCGGCATGGGCAGCAGCACAGGGCACGTGGCGGGTGCACGGTTCGCCGTGTCCCCCGTGGTGCCGTTTGGGCGCCGCCCCGGCCTGTCAGTGGGGCGCACCCCTCCTCGCCTCTCCTCCTCTGCCCCCGGCACGCCCCTCCACCTGCACCCAGGAGGCACGTTCCTGCACGCCCGCCCTGTCCCCGCACATGCCGCCGCGCCGCACCAAAGGGGGAGGTACACCGGCGGGGGTGACGCAGGGGGGTTGGGCAGCGAGCGGTTGAGTGCATGTGCGAGCGCAAGGGAGGAAGTGGGGAGCGGAGGGGGGGGGGGGATGGAGGGCGGGGGGGGAGGGCGGGGGGGTGAGGGTGGGGCGCACGGCCACGGAGCCGGTGCTGCCGTCGTCCTTCCACCCGCTCGCTTGATACGCTGCCCATGTGCACGAGCAGATGGGTGTGGTGCAGGGTCGTCGCTAGCAGAAAATCTCTGTCTGTTTGTCCGATATTCAGACAGATTTTTACCAGTTCATCTGATTTTCCAGAAATGAAATTTTGAAATTTCTGATTGATAAGAAATGTCTTTTGAATTCATCTGATCAATCAGGAACCTGTTCTGGTTTCGTCTGATACCGAGTTCCAATGTAGAAGGGTGTTTCGTGTGTGAATGGAGTTCGGCCGGTTATCTGCACCGTTACCTAACCCTATCACTGTTAGTTGCGATTGGCTTCGCAATGGTGACCATCCGAGTTCGCTCTTAAAGTCGCGCGTTCTTCTTTGCAATTCCTTCGTAAGGTACAGAACACTGAAATGAGGAGGGCTCTAAGAAAATCAATCAGAAATTGAATTAAAAAAAAAAATGATTCAGCAGAAATGTTTTGAAGGAAATTCTGATGCATCAGACAGAAAAAACCACGCCATCTGATGCTCAAAACCTAGGGATGACCCTGTGCTGCTGCTGGGATGGGCGCTGCTTGTGGCTTGTTTGAGAGGTCCACTGGTGATCCCCGATTGATCCTAGGGAAGGGTTACAGGCTCGTTGTCTTGGGGGGTTATGGGTGTCAAAATGTTTTAGTGCTTACTTTGTGTAGGCTATAGTGGGGTAGCCCATAAGGGGTACAACCAATTAGGGTTAGTACTTGCACCCAACTCTTTCATAGTTCATTCATTCTCGTTCAGTATTCTGACATGGTTTCAGAGCAGGTCATTTTCTAGGACCGGATTTTTTTTTTTTTTTAGGGCCCACCACAGAGCGCTGCCCCACGAGTCAACGCTGCCCTGTCCCGCCCTGCCCTGCCTGTCGCGCCACCCTGCTGGCCGCCGTGCCGCCCTTAGCAGCCCGCGCGTCGCCCTTTGCAGCCCGCTCGACGCCCTTTGCAGCCCGCCGCGCCGCCCTTTGCAGCCCATGCGCCACCACTTGCAGCCCGCGTGCCGCCCTGCTTCTGCCCGCCCTGCCTTGCCCGCGCGCCGCCCTGCTGCCCGCCGTGCCGCCCTTAGCAGCCCGCGCGTCGCCCTCATGCCACGCCCGACCTTTGCAGCCCGCATGCAGCCCTATTGCAGCCCACCGTGCCGCCCTTAGCAGCCCGCACGCTGCCCTTTTGCAGCCCGCCGCGCCGCCCTGCTGCTGCCCGCCCTACTGCGCGCAGCTCTGCTGGCCGGCGCCCTGCTGCCCGCACAGCCCTGCTGCGCGCCGCCCTGCTACTTGCGCCGCCCGGCTGCTGCCCGTCCTGCTGCGCGCAGCCCTGCTGGCCGGCGCCCTCCAGCCCGCACCGCCCTATTGCTGCCCGCCCTACTGTGCGCCGCCCTGCTGGCCGTCGCCCTGCCCTTCCCTGCACGCTCCTCTAGTGCTCTAGTGCTTGCTCGTCGCCCTGCCTGCATGCCGCCCTGCTGGTCGCGCGCCACCCTGCTCTGCCCGCTATGGCTTCTCTCAGTGTACCCACCTTCGATCATGAGGGCCGTCCGATCAAGTTCGATACGTGGCTCGACGACTTACAGCTGTACCTACTGAGCGATTATAGAGACAGCGTTTCATTGTTTGACCACACGTCTGGAGCCTCTCTCGCCCCTCCCGCCACAGCTGATAGTGCGACTCGGTCACAGTGGCTTACCTGTTATGCAGCTGCTCGCATAGCCGTTCGCAACCACCTACAGTTAGCCGAACGCGCTCACTTTGGCCGGCACAAGACTGCTAAAGCCCTGTACGACGCTGTAGTCGCTCGTTACTCTTCCCCTACCACTACTGCTCTAGGCCGACTTATAATGCCCTACCTGTTTCCCGAGCTGTCAACCTTTGCCACAGTCGAGGACCTCGTTACCACCTCCACACTAGCGACACTCACTACCGCGCTGCCCTCCCAGCAGAGTTCCTTGACAGGAACCCGCCCCCGATGTACATCACTCTCTACTTCATAGTCACTCGCCTCCCTGACTCGCTTCGCGCAGTCAGGGACCACTTTCTCGCACTTGACCCCACAGACCTCACTATCGACCTGCTCGAGAAGCACCTCCTTGTAGCTCAGACTAGCGTAGTCGCTGTAGGTGCTGCTCGTGGCACTCCTCGCACACCCATCTTAGAGGGGTGTTCCCCCTCCCCCCTTGCCCCCTCCTACGCCTCTTCTGCTGCTATTGACATCCTTGGTGCTGAGGATGTCGGGGCTGCTTCTGCTCTTAGTGGGAAGCGCTGCATCAGCTAGGGCAAGGGTGGCAAGGGGGGTGGCGGTGGCAACGGGGGTGGTGGTGGTGGAGGCAGTGGAGGCGGAGGAGGTGGCGGAGGTGGTGGCAGCGGTGGGAGTGGTGGCGGGAGTGGGGGCTTCGGTGGCGGCGGTGGTGGCAGCGGTGGGGGTGGCAGTGGTGGTGGTAGTGGGAGTGGTGGTGGCGGCAGTGGTGGCGGTTGGGTTGGAGCTGTTCAGAGGGGAGGTTCTGGCGGTGGCCACAGGCAGCAGAAGCAGCGTCGGAGCGAGACCCCTACGCCTCAGCAGCTTCGTGAGTGGTTTGCTCGGCGTGGGGCGTCTGGGGGTAATGTTCGCTGCTCGTATGTCATTCGCACAGGTGACCGCGCTGGTCAGACATGCGGGAAGCTTCTCACTCAGCACCGCTGCTTCTCCCGCCTTGACGACGCTTGGCGCTCAGAGTTTGGTGACGAGGCTGAGTGCCCCCGCTGGTCAGAGCCGCTTAGGTCTGGAGTTGATATCTTTGCTCTTGACTATGATGCTATCCTTGCTGCCATGTATGCCTTGTTTTTTTGTGCTGTGGGTGACTGTTACCTGTGTGTGCCGCCCGACCCAGGTATAGAGGGTGCTGCTCTAGGTGCTAGTGAGTCTGCTCTCCCTAGTACTGCGCCTGCTGAGGCCTTGCACACCTTCACACTTGACTCAGGTGCTTCCCGCTATTTCTTTCGCGATAGTACCACACTCACTCCACTCCCTGTACCTGTTCCAGTCAGACTGGCTGACCCCTCAAGGGGCCCAGTTCTTGCACGTACCTCCACTGTTCTCCCGTGTCCGGCGGTTCTGTCCGGCTCACTCTCAGGTCTTCACCTCCCCTCGTTCTCTACAAACTTGGTGAGTACCGTTGCCCTCAAGGATGCGATGGTCACTACCACCACTCTTGGGGGTCAGCGTGTGTCGATCTGCACATGTAGACGGACGGGCCGTCACCTGGCCACGTTCACCCATCGGCCTGGGTCGAGTCTGTACACACTGACTATCGAGCCTCCTCAGGTAGTTGCGCCCGCTCAGGTGTCCACGTCAGGTCCGGTAGTGCCCCCCTGCTCGTGTCGCCTCCTGTCGCACCAGACTCTCCTGTGGCACCACCGCCTTGGTCATCCCTCCCTGCCACGCCTTCGTGGCATGCACTCCTGCCTCCTTGTTTTTTGTCTTCCCAGGTCTCTGCCTTGTGAAAGTAGTAAGCATAGTTAGGAGCCATAGCTAGGTAAGCCCTAGCTAGGCAAGAGAAAGTTTAGGCAAAAGGGGGGTGCACTAGCAAGAATGGGGATACAAATAGGAAACCCTAGAAGGGTTGTACTCGCTATAGAGCACCCCACTACAGGCTAGAGCATAAGATAACATTCTGACACACCCCCATAGCCAAAGTGGGGTGTAATCAGCAGAGTAAGCAAAGGAGTACAAGCTCAGGGTGGATCACAATGTCACCACACATTCTGAGCACAAGTTCAAGAAGCAATAGTTTAAGTTCACAATTATGAGCAAAGCTAGTGGTAGTCACAACGGGCAAGTGAGGAGGGGGAGAGAGAGTGAGAGGAGAGGAGATACGAGGCGACGGCTGAAGCTGCAGACACTCGGGCAACAGGAGGCAGACTGGCACAGCGGCTACCGGACGAAGTCCCCGGAATACAGGAGTAACAGGCCCCGCGGCTAAAGTAGCGGCAGACGAGCAACGGACCCACGGGCGGCTGGCACAGCTGGCTACGACTGGGCTACCGGACGAAGTCCCCGGAATACAGGTGCTGCTGGCGACACGACGGCAACCTCCATTCAGCTTCCCCAAACTATCCCACTCCCCCCTGGCACACACCCCCTGCTTCACCGCTAGCTCCACTCCCCCTTCACCCCCCCCTTAGTACCACTCCAACGGCTTCAACAAGTCCACCCCCCCTCAGCGGCAGCTGCAGCACAGGGAGACGGAGGAGGAGGAGGAGCAGGGAACGGCACACAGTGGCTTCACCCCCATACCCCTCACCCCCAAACCCTAATTCAGGAGAACGGGCTGTAGGAGGGGTGGGGCGCCAGTAGAAGCACGGGGGACAGCGGGGAGGGCAGGGGCAGCGAGGAAAGGGCCGCCCACGGGCCTGGCACAGCCGCCCGAACCGCGCGCAGGCGGCCCGAGCCGCGCGCGGCCCTGGCGCAGCCCGTACGGGCCGCGCGCGGGCCTGGCGCAGCCCGTACGGGCCGCGCGCTGGCCTGGCGCAGCCCGTACGGGCCGCGTCCGGGCCTGGCGCAGCCCTTACGGGCCGCGCGCAGCCTGTACGGGCCGCACGCAGGCCACGACGGGCGACGGGGGGCGACGCGCGGGTCCCCGTCGCCCGTCGCAGCGCCTCCCGAGGGCGACGCGCCGAGGGACGGGGCAGAAGCCCGCCGCGCGCCTCGAGGCGCACAGCGGGCAGAGAACCGCCGCGCGCCACGGGGCGCACGGCGGGCAGAAAACCGCCGCGCGCCTCGGGGCGCACGGCGGGAAGAAAAACTGCCGCACGCCACGGGGCGTGCGGCACAGAGGGTAGCAGTGGAAGTTGCAGCGGAAGCAACGAGGTGGTGAGCCCACCCACAGGCCAAGAGCGTAGTCGCTCTGATACCATGTGAAAGTAGTAAGCATAGTTAGGAGCCATAGCTAGGTAAGCCCTAGCTAGGCAAGAGAAAGTTTAGGCAAAAGGGGGGTGCACTAGCAAGAATGGGGATACAAATAGGAAACCCTAGAAGGGTTGTACTCGCTATAGAGCACCCCACTACAGGCTAGAGCATAAGATAACATTCTGACATGCCTCCCCTACCGCCCTCGCCTGCCCCGCCCTGCCTTCCTTGCGTCGAGGGGCGGCAGC